AATATGAATATAATCATTTATCATATTCTCAATTAATTCAATGTATTTTTCCTCAACTTTTTCATTATCCTTCAAAAAATGTGCTTTTATTTGTCCAATTATTTTATTTTTAAAATTTTCTGGTTTTGCCACAATCATTTCAATTAAACGAATAAAATTTTTAAATTCTTTTGTAGAATCTTGTGCTATTTCTAAATACTCGCCATATTTCTCCTTGATTTTCAATTTATTCTCTTCGATTATTTCACCCTCGCTTTTTAATTTGTTTTCACTATTAACAGAGTTTTGCAAATTTTTCAATATGTTGTCATATTTATTTTTATGCTCTTTAAATAAAAATTTTTAAAAATTTACCAAATTTTATCATGGGGTGGATCTTGCGGACTGATTTTTTTTCCTTGTTCGGTCATCCGATATATGCAGAACTTTTTTTATAACAGAATCAGAATAATACTAATAACACAATCCTACTCGATTAAATACTCTAATTTTGTTTGTAAATCATCTTAGATTTAAAATATACTCTTGAAGCAAACGGTTTTTTAAGTAAAGTATGAGGCTTCATTGGAAAATTTGCCAAGGGTTCGGTCTTTAAGGTCTTTGACCACTACGTGTTAACCTTAGGGTCTGAGCTAAAATTTTTGGATATAGTAAAGCATCATCGGGGCTATAACTATTTCTCTCCTTTAGCTAGTGCAAAAGGATATTCGGCGGCTGGGAGCAAACCAGCATCTTCAGTAGACCGGACTGATGTGTTATCCATCACACCACACCGCCTACACCACAGCCTTATGAATTAAGTAGCTATATGCTTTACAATAGCCCAAATCCCCCCATATTGATATAAACTCAATTATGCTTATCTAAATGATTTTCCAACCTCCTCTATGAACAACCTCACTCATATCTCTCCCCACCTCTTTTACTTTTTCCTTTGATTTATTCAGTAAACTTTTAAATTTTTTTGCAACATTTCCTAAGACTTCATCAATTGGATTATACGAACTTGCACTAGATACATTAGATTGTTGCTTTGAAATTTTTTTTTGTTTTCCATCCATTCCGAAAGTATCGGTTAGCAGAAAAAGTAACAGAAACATTATAAGGAATAATCGCATCCTTACAAAAATCTTTTTTTGATTTTTCTAAAATATTTTATTAAACGTCAAAGTCTCATTCTCATTCCATTTTAAACTCATACCCTCGAAATTCCCCTTAATCTCTCAATCTTACGACATCCCTTCAATATCCCTTTAATTCTGCAAATTTTCCAAACACCTCCCTCTTTTTCAGCGCAGCAGGTAGGACAAATTTTTGAGTTATTCGACACGAGCACTTATGTCGCGGAAATATCTTCCAAAATAAAAGATAATTTGAAGGTTAATTTGCTCAATAAATATGGATACCGTTTTTTAAATCTGGCGGATATGACACTGCAAATCCGCGGATATAAATATATTGCAGATCAGAAGTGGGACAGAATTCCGATTTCCGACTTCGATTTCCGACGTTTTTTCCTTCCGATTTCCGAAAAAAAATTTGATTTCCGATTTCCGAGTTCCGACTTTTGAGCCATTTCCGATTTCCGACAGTTCCGATTTCCGACACCTCTGACTGTTCCGACCCACCTCTGTTGCAGATATACATCCACGGATATTGCAGATATACATCCATAATTTTTTCAAAATTTTTGCCTTAAAAAAGTTTTTTAGCGCCGAAGCTTTGGGATATTTAATTCAAGTTTTGATTACCTAAAACTGAAATTTTTTAAGATTTCTTTCACAAAACGGGGTGTTTCATAATTATAAGACCACTTATAATTATGAAATTCGCATCTCTGTGATAGCTAATTAATTTAACTTTTTAGCGAAATAATTTAATTTCTTAATTTAATTAATCGTTTAATTATTTAAAAACTCGAGAATAAAATAGATGCGCTTTTAATTCATTTTACAGTCTAAAAATGTACATAATTTTATAAATTACCTATAATTTATTTTCTTAAAAAAATTTTTTTAATTTTCTTTGCACTTTAGTTTATTGCAAAGATTTTTCAAAAATATTCAAAAATGTATTATTTTAAATGAAAGGCAAGGACAAAAATGAATAAAATTTTAGACTTTTTCCACAAAAGTTACATAAACCCTTCCCCTTTTTCAATTTTCAGCTTTGATCTGACGACACAAAAATCTGATTGGACTCATAAACAGTGTTTGACTCAAACTGCAGTAGATCCAAAATTTTTACCTATAATAATAAAACATGTTTGGACTCAGAATGTTCGATTAGACTCAGAATGTTCGATTGGACTCGTAAGTCAAGTAGACCCTTAGACCCTTTGGTCACCAGTTTTTTTAAGTTTTGGTCACCAAACGGAAAAATGAATCTTATCTAAAGCAGATATCAATTGTTTTTCAACTCGCAGTTGATCAATTTCAATGTTGGTCATTCTCCCGGCTGATCTCTCTCGTTGATCACTCTCAGTCACTCTCCCGGAAAATTGATTAACCTTAAGAGTGCTCAACATTGAAATTGATCAACTGCGAGTTGAAAAACAATTGATATATTCCCAAGTTAATAAAAATTGATATATTCCCAAGTTAATAGATATATTCCCAAGTTAATAAATTACCTCATAAAATTTTTTAATGGCAAAGATTTCAGTATTTATTTTCTGCCATAATGGAGCTATTGTTTTTGCACAATAATTCAGATTTTTTCTAATTTTTTCTGCAGGTATGCCTTTTGCCAATAAAGTTGCCTTTTTGGCTTTTTTGCCTAAGCCTTTAATCAAACGTCTTGTGCTACTTGTAGATTTAGCAGATGAATCTTTAAAAAGAACTTTAAAATCTTTAACTTTATATCATTTACTGATAGTCTGAGATCCTACAACTGTCTAAATTTAAACAGTCCGGACCAGTACGTCCATTTTTGGCAGATTTTTGGCGTTTTGCTTTTGGCGTGTTTTAAAAATTTGAAAAATTGGCGTTTAGCGTTTGGCGTATCTCGCGAAAATTTTGGCGCATAGTCCTGGCCCGGACCATCGCGGATTTTAATAATGCCCTCTTTTTCAATGACCTCTCTCTATCTCCTTGTCTTCACCAAAAATTCAAGGCGGGGAACAGGGGACGAGGAACAATTCTTTATTGGAAATAGAACTTCCTGATTGTGTAGATTTTAAAAAATAATTTTAAATTAAATTAACCCACATCCACTTTCATTTGAATTGTGACTGTGAACAGAAAGTTCCCCACTCATATAAGATCTTTCTTCACTAGATCCATGTCCCGAGCCAACGCTGAAATCTCTAGAACTAGCCAGTGTTGCCCTTGCAAGAAGATCGTTTGCACGGTCACAAGCTTTATTATATTCATCAAATTCTTTAATCAACCCTTCCATTTTTTTGGTTACTATGTCCTTAATTTGGACGAACTCATTGTTGTCAATTCTTTTCGTCAATTTTTTATTATTACTTAGCACATTGTGGCATAAAGCGATATACTCTTTCCTTTATATAATATTTATAATAAAAAAATTTTTATTTCAAAGTGTTACTTACCAGTTTTCAACGAGCTAAATTAAAAAGTAAAAAATAAATAATTATTTTAAAATTAAAAAAAAATTTTTTTTTGTTTAGGCCAAGTAAATATTTAAATTTAGTTTTCCCTATGTTTACCCTTTCAACCTCGACTCCCAAAAATATACTACAAACTTCTACTCTGAACCCTTCTGTCACGACCAGTGGTTGGAAGCTCGTACCTAAATTCGTACTGAACGCTGTACGAGTTGTACGAGTACGAGCAAAAAATGGACAGGCACGAGTACGAGAAAAAAAAATAAGGCGTGTACGAGTACTATATGTAGTAGTATAATTATCGCATACGCCTTTAAAAATTAAGAAATATTTAGTATATACACTTAACTTCAAAAAATCATAAAATTATAAATTTTTTGCATATTTCCCAAGTACGAGACAATACGTGTGCGAGGTACGAGACACGAGGTACTAGGTCAAAAAGGCCTGTACGAAAGTACGAGTTAACCACTGATCACGTCGGGGCGGCATCTAATCCTAGGTATTTAACACCCCATAATTTTTATAAAGAAAGTTTATACTTTTTCATTTTTTGTAGTTTCAATATGAATATAATCATTTATCATATTCTCAATTAATTCAATGTATTTTTCCTCAACTTTTTCATTATCCTTCAAAAAATGTGCTTTTATTTGTCCAATTATTTTATTTTTAAAATTTTCTGGTTTTGCCACAATCATTTCAATTAAACGAATAAAATTTTTAAATTCTTTTGTAGAATCTTGTGCTATTTCTAAATACTCGCCATATTTCTCCTTGATTTTCAATTTATTCTCTTCGATTATTTCACCCTCGCTTTTTAATTTGTTTTCACTATTAACAGAGTTTTGCAAATTTTTCAATATGTTGTCATATTTATTTTTATGCTCTTTAAATAAAAATTTTTAAAAATTTACCAAATTTTATCATGGGGTGGATCTTGCGGACTGATTTTTTTTCCTTGTTCGGTCATCCGATATATGCAGAACTTTTTTTATAACAGAATCAGAATAATACTAATAACACAATCCTACTCGATTAAATACTCTAATTTTGTTTGTAAATCATCTTAGATTTAAAATATACTCTTGAAGCAAACGGTTTTTTAAGTAAAGTATGAGGCTTCATTGGAAAATTTGCCAAGGGTTCGGTCTTTAAGGTCTTTGACCACTACGTGTTAACCTTAGGGTCTGAGCTAAAATTTTTGGATATAGTAAAGCATCATCGGGGCTATAACTATTTCTCTCCTTTAGCTAGTGCAAAAGGATATTCGGCGGCTGGGAGCAAACCAGCATCTTCAGTAGACCGGACTGATGTGTTATCCATCACACCACACCGCCTACACCACAGCCTTATGAATTAAGTAGCTATATGCTTTACAATAGCCCAAATCCCCCCATATTGATATAAACTCAATTATGCTTATCTAAATGATTTTCCAACCTCCTCTATGAACAACCTCACTCATATCTCTCCCCACCTCTTTTACTTTTTCCTTTGATTTATTCAGTAAACTTTTAAATTTTTTTGCAACATTTCCTAAGACTTCATCAATTGGATTATACGAACTTGCACTAGATACATTAGATTGTTGCTTTGAAATTTTTTTTTGTTTTCCATCCATTCCGAAAGTATCGGTTAGCAGAAAAAGTAACAGAAACATTATAAGGAATAATCGCATCCTTACAAAAATCTTTTTTTGATTTTTCTAAAATATTTTATTAAACGTCAAAGTCTCATTCTCATTCCATTTTAAACTCATACCCTCGAAATTCCCCTTAATCTCTCAATCTTACGACATCCCTTCAATATCCCTTTAATTCTGCAAATTTTCCAAACACCTCCCTCTTTTTCAGCGCAGCAGGTAGGACAAATTTTTGAGTTATTCGACACGAGCACTTATGTCGCGGAAATATCTTCCAAAATAAAAGATAATTTGAAGGTTAATTTGCTCAATAAATATGGATACCGTTTTTTAAATCTGGCGGATATGACACTGCAAATCCGCGGATATAAATATATTGCAGATCAGAAGTGGGACAGAATTCCGATTTCCGACTTCGATTTCCGACGTTTTTTCCTTCCGATTTCCGAAAAAAAATTTGATTTCCGATTTCCGAGTTCCGACTTTTGAGCCATTTCCGATTTCCGACAGTTCCGATTTCCGACACCTCTGACTGTTCCGACCCACCTCTGTTGCAGATATACATCCACGGATATTGCAGATATACATCCATAATTTTTTCAAAATTTTTGCCTTAAAAAAGTTTTTTAGCGCCGAAGCTTTGGGATATTTAATTCAAGTTTTGATTACCTAAAACTGAAATTTTTTAAGATTTCTTTCACAAAACGGGGTGTTTCATAATTATAAGACCACTTATAATTATGAAATTCGCATCTCTGTGATAGCTAATTAATTTAACTTTTTAGCGAAATAATTTAATTTCTTAATTTAATTAATCGTTTAATTATTTAAAAACTCGAGAATAAAATAGATGCGCTTTTAATTCATTTTACAGTCTAAAAATGTACATAATTTTATAAATTACCTATAATTTATTTTCTTAAAAAAATTTTTTTAATTTTCTTTGCACTTTAGTTTATTGCAAAGATTTTTCAAAAATATTCAAAAATGTATTATTTTAAATGAAAGGCAAGGACAAAAATGAATAAAATTTTAGACTTTTTCCACAAAAGTTACATAAACCCTTCCCCTTTTTCAATTTTCAGCTTTGATCTGACGACACAAAAATCTGATTGGACTCATAAACAGTGTTTGACTCAAACTGCAGTAGATCCAAAATTTTTACCTATAATAATAAAACATGTTTGGACTCAGAATGTTCGATTAGACTCAGAATGTTCGATTGGACTCGTAAGTCAAGTAGACCCTTAGACCCTTTGGTCACCAGTTTTTTTAAGTTTTGGTCACCAAACGGAAAAATGAATCTTATCTAAAGCAGATATCAATTGTTTTTCAACTCGCAGTTGATCAATTTCAATGTTGGTCATTCTCCCGGCTGATCTCTCTCGTTGATCACTCTCAGTCACTCTCCCGGAAAATTGATTAACCTTAAGAGTGCTCAACATTGAAATTGATCAACTGCGAGTTGAAAAACAATTGATATCAGCTTTAGATAAGATTAGTTTTCCTCGTTATGTGACCAAAATTCCTATTGGTGATCAAAATTTCAGTGCCCAATATTCCGTTTTTTACTTGGTGACCAAACTTCCGCTAGTGACCAAAATTAAAAAAAATTGGGGACCAAAGTTACGAAAAATCTTGGTGTCCAAAGTTCTGGTACCCTTAATTTAAAACAAAGTAAAGGCAGAAATAAGGTAGCTTTTATAGATTGTGGCAATTTACGCAAAGCCTGTTTACTTAAAAATCGCGCGCGTCTTGCGACTGAAAAGATAATTGGAAAGAGGGGAGAGAAGTCGCGCGCGACACTGTCTTACCCTCTTTTAAATATATTTTTCTTTCGAAATACACAACTTAGTTGACGACCAAAGGTTGGCCGAAGCATCCAGAGGTGTTGGAAATCGGAAGAGCCGGAAATCGGGACTGTCTCAAAATTCGGAACTCGGAAATCGGAAATTTTTTAGGAAATCGGAAGGAAAAAACGTCGGAAATCGGAGAAGTTACAGAGAAGTTATAGAAATCATTTTATACTCTTCTCGCTCCTCATTCTCGCTCCTCAGGAAGTTTTAGAACCTGTGAATGTTTCTACAAAGTAACATAAACCCAACCCTTTTTCCATTTTCAAACTTGATTTGCCGACCTACCCCCGTAGCTCACAAAAATCTGACTGGACTCATCAACAGTCTTGGACGCATAAACTGAAGTAGATCCAAAATTACCTAGAATAATAGACATGTTCGGATATATAAAATTTGATTGGACTCATAAACATTTATTTGGACTCATAAAGTTCGATTCGGACTCATAAGTCAATTAGAACCACTAATTTAGAGTGGGCAATTATCTAAGAGAGTTAATTATTCGAGTATATACGGTAGCTATTATAAATATATTAGAGTTGGGCGGGATCGGGATCCCGACGTAAAATCGGGATCGGGATTTTGGAATGATGATCCCGATCCCGGTCCCGATCCCGACTGCGGGATCGGGATTGGACGAAATCGGGATCGGGATTCGGAATAATGATCCCGATCCCGATCCCGACTGGGATCGGGATTGAAAAATCGGGATCGGGATTTAGTTTAAAAAAATTTTCAAAATTTAAATTTTTATTTACATTGCATATACCTCAATATAATTCCATAATTTTTATCTGCTGTGCTGAAATATTGATTTTAAGTCCCAGCGCGCATTTGTTCTTGGCGTATCAGGGATTAAGGAGGAGGGATAAAGTATTAACGATAAGGTGATTCTGATTGATTAAGAGGGATATCGTTGATTAATGAGATATTGGGATCTAGATGGACATCTAGGATATCCATTATATCCGTTCAAATCCATTCCGTCGATAGGTTTATAAATGAGTCTCTTCTTATTCACCGCCGGAGGCAAAAATTTTGAAAAATTTCGAAGATTCTCGAGCCAAAATCTTCATTTTTAGCGCCGCAGGCGAAAATTTTGAAAATTTTGAATGGCGTAGAAGCCAAATTGCTTTATTTTCAGCTCATTAATATATATTTTCATTAATTTATAAAATCCTGATTTCATCGGGATCCGATTGCTAATCCCGATCCCGGTCCCGATCCCGGCTCGGGATCGGGATCGGCCAAAACCGGGATCGGGATTTGTCTTTCGGGTTCGGGATCAGAAAAATCTGGATCGGGATTCAAAAAAACCGGGATAATCCCGCCCGATCCCGACCGGGATCCCGATCCCGCCCAACTCTAAAATATATGTATTCTAGTAAACGCTAAAGTCTGGGAATCTAAATGAGATTCTATTTTAAAAAAATTCTTTTTTAGTTTATTCAAAAAATTGGCAGTTAAAATTTTCTTGACTATTGACTTTAAAAAATTAATTTTACATAAGAATGAAGAGTGTATTTTAAAATGAAAGACTCTATTCAATTTGCCAATATATTTAAGCTAGCATTAATGGCTCGCTCGCTCCACCCATAATTTACTCTCTCTTCACCCAGAGGGAGCGAGAAATATTAAGATTGAAGAGAGACATTAACTATTGACAGTTAACAGTCAAAAATAGGCGATTCCATAAAAGGGAATATGTTGCGAAAAGTTTTTTACCTAAATATACGATGGTCGCAGCATCTTAACGACGTGCACCCGTGCCCAATTCAAATTAATAGCTGAATTGGCTCAAAAATATAGAAAGGTACATATTTGAACCAAAGACGGGTCTGAGAAAAAAGTTTCCAAAAATTCTTCCGATCGGAGTTCGGATTAAAAGGTCTGGGTTTCGCGTAACCTAACCAATCCTTTATCTACCATGGTAGATAATTCTGTTCTGAAACGCTAATTCTGAAATTGCACGTCTGTCGACTATTTTGAAGTCCAATACCAGCATAAGGAGGATAGACAAAAGGCAGCCGATTTACTTTCAATATTTATTTATAGTGCAAGGCTTTATAAGGATTACTATAGCGATTTCTCAATCGTCGCTTTATCTGTTTTTATCTTTCTTGAGCCTCTGCCTTTCTAAAGCTAACGTCAATATTTGGCTGTCATATGCATATTACCTCTTAAAAATTTTTGGCAAGTAAGAATAATCGATGGAAAAAATTTTAAAAGTGCAAAAAAATATTGCAATTATAAAAATTTTTTTAATAATAAATAAAATGAAGAAATAAATTATTTGCAAATTCTAGTCATGAAATTGAAAATAAAACGAGAATAGCCCCGCTGCTCTTTCACTCCCTATTATGTTCTGTTGGAACCATGGATTGGCTAGGTTGAGTAAATGTCGGATTTGGGAACGGGTCAATTAAAAAATTTTAATTCTGCAAAAATGCATTTTTGCTGTATTCAACTCCTCTCTTCCCCCTACCGTAATTTCTCTCAAATTATAGGTAAATTATATGTTGCAGTTCGGGGCGGAAAATAGGGAGTTTGCTTGAATTTTTACGTTATTTTTATCATTGATCCTAGTTGAGAATCTTTCTGTTTTAAATTTTTTGCCAAAAATAAATTTTAATTATTTAAAAATTTAAGTTATATTTTTAATAAAATTTAAAAAAATAAATATTAAAAATTAATGTGTATAGATAGAATGTCAAAAAAATTAATTTGTGGTCATGCCCTCAAAATTTCTTTAAAGTGTCGCCCACCTAGAAAATTTTTAAAAAGTTTTTATATGTCTGTTCTTCCCCAATTGTATACAATATTGGTCGAGAGCTATCCGTTATGGATTTTTATGAGAGCAGCTTTTAACTAGAGTAGGTTGAGGTCGAGGTTTTTTGAAAAAAACGAGACCAAGGATCACCAAGGCTGGAAAAGCCGATGTGCGATATCGAGGAGCAAATTTTGGCCGAGGTTCTTAGTATCGGATTTCGGGTA